CTAACAAGGACATTTTCCTAGATAATAATAGTATAATAATAAGGTAAGAAATTTGATGCTGATGTAATATTGTCTAATACACAGTTCATATACAGATTTTACCAATTTTCTCATTAATGTTCTTTTTGGTGATTTTTTTTCCCCATTCTAGGATTGGATCTAGAATCACACATAGGATGATTGTCATTTCTTTAGTCTCATTTCATCTGGAACTATTCTTCTATCTTTCATCATCTTTAACATTGATTTTTATTTTTTATTATTATTATTATTATTATTTTGAGACAGAGTCTCGCTCTTTTGCCCAGGCTGGAGTGCAGTGGCGTGATCTTGGCTCACTGCAAGCTCTGCCTCCTGTGTTCACGCCATTCTCCTGCCTCGGCCTTCGAGTAGCTGGGACTACAGGCACCCGCCACCACGCCCAGCTAATTTTTTGTGTTTTTAGTAGAGATGGGGTTTCACCGTGTTAGCCAGGATGGTCTTGATCTCCTGACCTCATGATCCACCCGCCTCAGCCTCCCAAAGTGCTGGGGTTACAGGCGTGAGCCACCGCGTCTGGCCCCAACATTGATTTTTTTAGAAGTTCAAGCCAATTATATGTCTCTGAATTTGGGTTTGTCTGATGTCTTCACATGATTTCATCCCATTAATACATTTTTGGCAGGAATTTAGCATATTCTGAGAATATTATATTAGGAGGCCTGAGATTCCCCCTGTTAGGGGTTAAACCATTTTTTTTTAATTCCCCAAGTAATATGAAAGTACTGATTTCCCCACAGCCTCACCAACAGAGTGTGTCATCAAGTTTTGCATTAACTGCCAATATGATTGATGAATATTATGATATCTTGATGTAGTTTTTAAGAAATAAACTTCATAGAAGTAGAATTAGAAAGCAATAAAATGGATCCATTTTAAGCACACAATGTGATGAATTTCAACAACACTTATAAGATAGACTATATTCATCACTTTAAAAAGTTTCTCATTTTGTTTTAGTTAAATCCCCCCAAATTCTTGCCCCAGACAAACACTGATCTGCTTTCTGACACTGTCGATTATATTTGTGGATGCTAGAATTTCATATAAATGGAATCATAAAGTGCTATAGTTTTTCTTTTTCCTTTTTCCTCTTTTCTTTTCTCCTTCCTTCCTTCCTTCCTTCCTTCCTTCCTTCCTTCCTTCCTTCATTTCTCTCTTTCTCTCTTTCTGTCTTTCTCTTTCTCTCTTTCTTTCTTTCATGGAGTCTTGCTCTGTCACCCAGGCTGGAGTGTAGTACTGTGATCTTGGTTCACTGTAACCTCTGTCTCCTGGGTTCAAGTGATTCTCCCTCCTCAGCCTCCTGAGTAGCTGAGATTACAGGTGCATGCCACCATGCCTGGCTAATTTTTTTATTTTTAGTAGAGGCGGGATTTCACCATATTGGCCAGGCTGGTGTTGAACTCCTGACCTCAAGTGATCCACCTGCCTCGGCCTCCCAAAGTGTTGGGATTACAGGCGTGAGCCACTGTGCCCAGCCGATGCTGTAGTTCAGATGTTTGTCTCCTCAAACCTCATGTTAAAGTCTGATTCCAGTGTTGGCAGTGGGGCCTAATATGAGGTGTTAGGTCATGCTCTGTGGCTGGACTACTCTATCCTATTCATTTCCCTCATGAATGCACTAATGCCTGCAAAAGTGAGTTCTCACTCTTACTAGTTCCTGAGAGATCTGGTTGTTAAAAAAAAAAAAAAAAAAAACCCTGCCACCTGTCTCTCCTCTCTCTTGCTTCCTGTCTCACCATGTAATCTCTAACACACCAGCTCTCCTTCACCTTCTGCCATGTGTGGAAGCAGCCTGAGGCCCTCAGACTGCAGAACCACAAGCCCAATAATCCCCCTTTCTTTTTTTTTTTTTTTTTTTGAGAGGGAGTCTCGCTGTGTCACCCAGGCTGGAGTGCAGTGGCGCGATCTCGGCTCACTGCAAGCTCCGCCTCCCGGGTTCACGCCATTCTCCCGCCTCAGCCTCCGAGTAGCTGGGACTACAGGCGCCCGCCACCACGCTGGCTAGTTTTTTGTATTTTTAGTAGAGACGGGGTTTCACCATGTAAGCCAGGATGGTCTTGATCTCCTGACCTCGTGATCCACCCGCCTCGGCCTCCCAAAGTGCTGGGATTACAGGCTTGAGCCACCGCGCCCGGCCAATCCCCCTTTCTTTATAAATTACCCAGCCTCAGGTATTCCTCTATAGCAGCACAAACAAGCTAAGACATAAGGCATGTATACATGGTGTCTGCCCTGGCTTCTGTTTCTCTGCATAATACTTTTGAAACCCACCCACATTGCTGCATATACCGGCAAATTATTTTTCTTATTACTGAGCAGTATCCCGTTGTGTGACTATGCCACAATTTATTTATCCATTGTCTTTTTTACGGTGTTTTGCTTCCAATTCGTGGCTGTTACGAATAATTTATGAGCATTTATGAACAAGTCTTTGTGTTGACGTATGATTTTGCTTCTTTTAGGTAAATATATAGGAATGAGGTTGTCGGGTCATATTGCAGGTGTCTATCTAACTTGATAAGAACTTTCCAAACTGCTTTCCAAAGAGGTTGTACCATTTTACATTCCCGCCAGCAATGTTTGAGAGTTCCAATTTCTTTGCATTCTCACCAACAGCTAATTTTAATTTAATTTTAAATTAAAAATTCTAAATTTTTAATTTAGAATTAGTGGGTGTGTAATGGTATCCCATTGTGGTTTAAATTGCATGTTTATGTTGACTAATGATTTTGAGCATCTTTTTATGTGCCATTTGTATATCTCATATTGTGAAGTCTCTTTTCAAATGTTCTGCCTGTTTATTATTTGGTTGTTTGTCTATTATTGAGTTGAAGAAGTACTTAGATGTATGGATTACAAATATTTTCTCCAAGTTTGTGCCTGTCTTTTCATTTTCTTACGTACCTTTCGAAGAGAAGTTTTAATGTTGATAAAATGAAACCTATAATTTTTCTTCTTTTATGGCGTGCATTTTGTGTGATATCTAAGAAAACATGCCATAAGTTTGGGTTGATTTTTCTCGTGTTTTCTTCTAGAATATTTCTAGTTTGATCACAATGTAGACATATATGAAAACATCACGTTGTGTCCCATAAACATATATAATTTTTATTTGTCAATTAAAAACAAGAACAAAGAATAACAGAATAAAAATTGAAAAATAAATTACATTGAGATTTAAAAAATGTGTGTATGTATATGTGTGTATATGTATACATATAAAATGTGTGTGTGTGTGTATATATATAGTTTTAGCTTTACATTTAGGTCTGTGATCTATTTTGAGAATCTCAAATCTTTTGTCACTCTAGCTTCATGAAAATCTCTTTTTTCCCCCCACCACTTTGTTTTCAACAAAATTTTTCCCTCAGGGGACAAGCCTGATTTTTTCACCCTGGCAGTGCCCAGAATCAGCAAATGCCTTTATGAATAGTTGCAGATCTTCTGCTTCCTTCTGAAGGATTTCCCTTCTTGGAAATTTTTCTCCAAGTCCTGTTGCTTTCACCACCCTCTGATGCTCTTAAATGTATGACTGATGTAATTTACCTGGATTTTCTGGTTATTTGTTCGGTGTTCCTGGCCTGTTGTGAACTACTTTATCCTGTTAGAAGTGCGTCACCTTTTCTGACTGCTCTTAATATTTTTAAAAAATTTGTCTCTAATTTTTAACAGTGTGCCTATGTGCAGTTTTCTTTGTATTTATCTTGTTGCTGTAGCCCTTCTTAAATTGGAAGCTTGATGTCATTCTTAAACTGCGAAAAATTATTGCCTATTAGCTCTTCAAAATGCTCTGTCCATCTTTTCTAACCTTTTCTCCTGAGATTTGAATTTTACATACTTTAGATCTTTTCGCTGTATGGCATCTATCTCTTACGTTCTTTCCTGTGTATTTCCATCCTTTTGTTTCTGTGATTTAGTTTGAATGATGTCTTCTGTCCTTTCTCCCAATTTATTAATTCTTTCTTTAGCTCTGTGTGATTTGACTTTAAATGTATTCACTGAGGTCTGAATTTCATTTAAAAAATTTTAACCTCAAAACTTCCCCTTTTTTTTTTTTTTTTTTTTTTTTTTTTTTTTTTTTTTTTTTTTTTTTTTTTTTTTTTTTTTTTTTTTTTTTGACAGAGTTTCGCTCTTGTTGCCCAGGCTGGAGTGCAATGGTGCAATCTTGGCTCACTGCAACCTCTGCCTCCTGGGTTCCAAGAAATTCTGCCTCAGCCTCCCAAATAGCTGAGATTACAGGCACACGGCACCACGCCTGGCTAATTTTTTGTATTTAGTAGATACGGGGTTTCTCCATGTTGGTCAGGAGTCCTGACCTCAGGTGATCCACCTGCCTCAGCCTCCCAAAGTGCTGCAATTACAGGCATTAACCACCACGCCTGGCCTGGTTTTTTATATAAATTATATTCGATTTTTGTTGAAATTCTTCATTCTTTCATTTATTTTCTTGAATATATTGTCATACTTAAATTATGTGTCTGACAACTTTAATATTTAGGTCACCTATATATTCCTGATTCTTTTTTTTTAATCTTTAAAAAATAATATTTAAATTTATTGTTTCACATTAGTTTGAATAAAGCACAAGCCAAGATTGTTTAAATATCATTTGCAGATGTCCAAGTTTCTTTACAATTACAGGTTGTGGACATCATCAACCTAGTCCTTGACTTGCAACTAAAAAAGGCAACAGGTCTGTGTGACTGACAGAAGAGCACATCCCACTCATGTCATGAGCAAAGAGTCAAAGTTGAAAAAACAGTAACGGTCTTGACATCAGTACTGTAAGAATTATTCTGCAGTAAACTCCAACCCAGAATGGGGAAGAGTACTGAATTCACTGAGCACATTCTGGACACAATTCTGACAGATTTCAGTCTCACGATCTCTGTCGGAGCAGGTTTCATTCTCCAATTCTCTTTCACAGAACAGCAGAATGTGAGTCTTCATAAAAGTGATTAACGGCCTTTCCGCTTCTTCATTTTTCCTCCAGCCACCTTGTTCCTGACACCAATAGTGCCCTCTGTATCATCATTATCTCCAGCATCCTCTCGCGAGCGTTTCTTCTTTTCTCCATGCTCCCTTAACTCCATTCGGGCAAATCTTTGGGCTTCAGCCACGCGTTCTGTCAGCATCATAACCTCATCATCCTGTGTTGGAAAGACTGGTAGTTTCTTCCCAATTAAGTGTTCTATGCGCTGGAAGAGTTCCACATCCTACTGCGTGACAAAAGTAATAGCCTTTCTGGAGCGCCCAGCTCTAGCTGTTTGACCTACTTGATGGATGTAATCCTTGGAATGGGTAGGAATGTCAAAGTTGACAACTACATCTACATGAGGTATGTCCAAACCCCGGCTGGCAACGTCAGTTGCTAGAAGAATGGAACGGGCCTTGGCCTTAAACTTATTAAGGGATCCTAGGCGCTTACTCTGACTCATTTGTCCATGGAGGGGGATGGCAGTGAATCCAAGATTTCGCAGTAGCAAAGCTGTTCTCTGGGTATTATTACAGGTGCTGCAGAATATCGTAAAGGAGTTTCCCGCCAATTCATTTAGAATATAAACCAGGTAGGTATCCTTGAATTTAGAGGGAATAAAAATATAATATTGCTGTAATTTTTCAACTATCTGGTATTTAGAGGAAACGGCACATTTCGCAGGATTTTTCAGAGCTGCTCGCTGAAGCTTTTGCACCTTCTTGGTCATGGTGGCAGAGAAGAGGAATGTTTTCCGATCTCGAGGGATCACTTTGAGGTTCTTGTCAACCTCTGTCTCAAAATCCATATTCAGTATTCGGTCGGCTTCATCCATGACCAAGTATTTGAGAGCTCTCAAGTTGAAACGTTTCGTATTTTCCAAGTGGTCAATCAGTCGACCAGGAGTTGCTATTATTATATGTGGTTTTTTTGCAAGGGCCAAAGATTGAGACATTGAATCAACTCCACCCACAATCACAGCACTCTGCACTCCAATAGAGGACCCCAGGGCTTCAAACTGCTCTGAGATCTGAAAGGCCAGCTCCCGAGTCGGGGTAAGAACTAGGGCAAACAAACGCTGTGGGGTCTCCAGCAGTGCATTCAGAATGGGCAAAGCAAAGGCGCCTGTTTTTCCAGAGCCAGTTTCTGCCAGCCCAATGATATCACGACCTTGTAAGGCCAAAGGAATAGCTTCAATCTGGATCTTGGTGGGTTTTGTCCATCCCAACTGGTCACAAGCTTCACACAACACATCTGTCACACCCAGGTCTTTAAATGTTTTAGTTTCCTCCTCTTCCATCACCGGCTGGGACGCTTCGGTCAGAGAATCGCGTTCCTCGGGCACCGCCATCTTGTCTTATTCCTTATTCTTTTGTCTGCTTTTTCTCTGGCTTTTGAGTCAAATTTTTTAACTTGTCAATTTTGGATTGAGTGCTGGAAATTGCATATTAAAAATCATCAAGATAACTGGATGCTCTTAATTATTGTATCTTCCTTCATGAATAATTTATTTGGCTTTGACAGAAAGTTACAGAGGTAGGTCACCTTAAATTTTTGAAAGACTTAGTTGATATAAAGACTTCAGTGTCTGTGAGTGTGGTCTACTTCCGGGTCACCCTTATTTCTGTGTCAGGGATCTTTACCAAAAGCCCCTCCTTGAAGAGTCCTAACCTGTCGTTTTTGTTCTTCAACTCTTCTGAGACTGCAGAAGTTCTGCCTAGTTTTTGGGTTTTCAGCTACACTTTCTGCTTTTGAAATTGCCACGTAAATTGAAGTAAAAGTTCAACTCAAATGCTATGTTCATCTCTTATTCTCTCTTCTTCTAGACTTTCACCTTTAAAATTCTCACCATTTCTTGTATCTTCAAATGGGTTTTTAAAAAATTTGTCTATTTTTTATTTTCAATAGGGAAGTTGGTCTAAGGCAATCTCGTCATCAATACTAGGGATGAAAACTATGAGTATCATATTTAATTTCCATATGTATCATTCAGTACTTGCTAATAATCTTCCCACATCATGCTAAGCCAAAAGAATAGCTTTTACAGTATTGTAGGGAACTGGGTGGAGAGGCAGGTTGGGTGGGTGAGATTTTTCCCCAAGCTCTCCTCTATCACATCTGTGGCCTCAGAACAATCAACTGTAGTGGTAATTGCAAAGTGTATTGCAGGGCATACACATGGCTGGTGAGGGAAAATTGGACTGTCCATGAGACGATGCATCTGGTAGGCATTGGTTGGTAGGTGGGCTGAATTAGTCATGACTGCTTGGGATCATGCCATGGAAACCCTAAGAAACTATCAAAAGGAGGATACTGTTTGTATTCTGATGGGATATTAGACAAAGGAAATGAGATTTACTATTTTTAGTATGACCCTGTTTGTATCCACAGGTTAGATGGCCTGAATATACAGACTATATTTAAAATGGAATTCCTCTAATTAAAATAAAATACAGTCTTCATTCTGAATTTTCTTATTCATCTTGTTACTGTGTCAATTCACTAAGCCTTCAAAGGATGACAGAAGTATAATATCTGTGGAAATCTCAAGAGGTCATTTTTATGAGTTCGAACTTTATTATCAAATAGCGTTTTATAAACCTTCTGTGATAGGATTTCGTACCTTCCAAAGACATTATTCTCCATTGTAGAGAAACCTTCTTTTACCTTTAGAAAACTGTGTACTGCGATCAGTGGTTAGCTCTTAAGAAGAAAGGAACTGAGCTAAATGTTTAATTCTACCCCTGTAAATTGTTCACCGGAACCTTTCCAATTCATTCAGAACAATCAAGTATTGTAAGGGTTATGGGTGGAGGGAAGAGGAAAGAAATTGCTCTCATTGATTAAATTTCCTTTTCTTTCTGAGTTCTGGATTTGTCAGTTTCCTCTGAGTTTTTGTTTGCTCCAACCTCTGAGGTCATGTTTGCACCAATGATTTTATCCAATAGTTGATCCCAAACCATCTTAACTTTTCATAGGTCACTCTTCCAAGGTTCATGAGAAAAAACTGAAAGTTTGTATCTTTGGTACTTCAATTAACACTGACTTCACTTGGTATTAGTGCTCCTTTTAGCAACTGTATTAGTGTATCCTCACACTGCTTATAAAGAATTACCCAAGACACTGGGTAATTTATAAAGGGAAGAGGTGTAATTGACTCACAGTTCAGCATGGCTAGGGAGGCCTCGGGAAACTTAGAATCATGGTGGAAGGGGAAGCAAACACATTCTTTTTTACATGGCAGCAACAAGGAGAAGTGCCGGGCAAAAGGGAGAAAAGCCCCTTATAAAACCATCAGATCTCCTGAGAACTCACTTATTATCACCAGAACAGCAGCATGGGGATAACCACCCCCATGATTCAATTATCTTCCACCAGGTCTCTCCCACGGCATGTAGGAATAATGGGAATAACAATTCAAGAAGATATTTGGGTGGGGACAGAGCATCCCTGTCCCCTCCCAAATCGCATGTGCTCACATTTCAAAACACAATGCTGCCTTTTCAACAGTTCCCCAAGATCTTAACTCATTACAGCATTAACCTGAAAGTCCAAGTCCAAAGTATCATAAATTGACACTCAATATTAACCATTGGCCAGGTGTGGTGGGTCACACCTATAATCCCAGCACTTTGGGAGGCCGAGGCAAGAGGATCACTTAAGGTCAGGAATTCGAGACCAGCCTGGCCAATATGGCAAAACCCCACCTCTACTAAAAATACAAAAATTAGCAGGGTATGGTGGTGGATACCTGTAATCCTAGCTACTTGGGAGGCTGAGACAGGAGAATCGCTTTAACCTGGGAGGCAGAGGCTGCAGTGAGCTGAGATCGCACCACTGCACTCAGGCCTGGGCAACAAAGTGAGATTTTGTCTTAAAAAAAAAAAAAAATTAACCATCATAGCAACCTTTGAGAATTCATATGTACCTGGTAGCATGGTGTATAAACTGAGCTGAATCAATAAACAAGACCTACTTGATTGAAAAACCTAATTACTCCTCCCATACCAATCTCTACAGTATATCTATTTATCCATCGCTAAGCTCCTTGGTAACTATGAACCAAAACCTGTGTGAAACTTAAAAGAAGAAAAGCAATTAATCTCCTGAACTACAGAAAAACACCCACAGTCCAGGTATAAAATAGTTTCCCAAACTGAGCCTCATCTGCATAAAGTGTGTCTGAATCAACAGCTAAATGAGGAAATAAAGCCCTGATATTTAAAGTCAGTAATGCTTTGATTCATTTGCCTTTTGATGTAGTATATTTTTATGGCTCAGGGGAAGTAACACATTGAAAAGGACACAGGAGAGGAGGAGGAAGTGGCAGGCAGTGAGGGTGGAGAAAATAAGGGCAGAGCCACTGAGAAGAAAAACATTAAAAAGCAATAACTCTAGCAAGAAAGACACAAAAATGATTACATGATATCTCCAATAGATTTTACATTAATAAAAAACTACTGATAGCATTTCTAATGCAAAAGGCTTCGAACAATTGATGATAAATGATTTATCAGATAATTTCAGTAACAATATTCAAGACCCACTTTATAGTGAACACATGACACACACATCACATGGAGTGTTACGGTCATCTTCTGATTGTTGGACTTTATGTAAATATTTTCTTCAATCATTTTAATAGCTTCATTCAGGTATAATTAGTATGCAATAAACTACATATTTAAAGTGTGTAACTGACATATGGACACACTTGTGAAGCCATCACCACAATCAACATATTGAGCAGATCAATCACACCCAAAAGATTTCTCATGCCTCATGACCCTTTGTGTCCCTGCCTCCTGCCCCTGCCCACTTCCTTCCTACCCCAAGGAACCAGTGATCTGCATTCTTTTATTACAGACAAGTTTGCTTTTTTTATTTTTTTTTTTTTTTTTGACTGTGTCTCGCTCTGTCGCCCAGGCTGGAGTGCAGTGGCACGATCTTGGCTCGCTGCAACCTTCACCTCCCGCGTTCAAGCGATTCTCCTGCCTTAGCCTCCATAGTAACTGGGATTACAGGCACCTACCACCACACCTGGCTAATTCATGCATTTTTAGTAGAGATGGCATTTGGCCATCTTGGCCAGACTGGTCTCAAACTCCTGACCTCAAGTGATCTGCCTACCTCAGCCTCCCAAAGTGCTGGGATTTCAGGCATGAGCCACCATGCCTGGTGGTTTTCAGATTTTTATACCAATAAAATCATGCTACATGTACCCTTTGTCTGACTTTTCTTAACCCAGCAAAATTATTTTGAGATGCATCCATGTAGGGCATGTATCAACTGTTTCTTTCTTGTTATTGGTGAATATGATATATATCATACATTGTTTTTTCATTCACTTGCTGATGGACCTTTGTGTTTGTTGCTATCACAAATCAAATTGCTGTGAGCATTCACGTACAGGTCTTTGTGTGGAGGTTTGTTCTTATTTCTGTTAGGTATATACCTAAGAGTAGAATGGCTAAATCATGCAGCAGAAATATGTTTAACATCTCAAGAAATTCTCAAACTATTTCACAAAGTAGGGAATTCTAGTTCTTCCACATTCTCACCAAAACTTGGTGTGGTCAGTCTTTCTAATTTTAGCTTGTTTTATTTCATACAAGACATATTTAAGATTCTAGAGGATTACCCTTTGAATACAGAAAATAAAGACCAGCACCTCATCAGAGAAGCTTTCCCTGACCACCCAAATTAAAGTAGCCCCCCAATTATTCCGTACTGTATCACCCTGGTTTTGATTTTTGTATTGTACTTATCACTACTTGATATTTTCTTGTTAATTTGTCAATTAAAAATAATTCTCTATCCCGTGAGCTGAAATTCTCTTCATAAAAGCATATACCTTTCTATCTCATTCAGAGTCTCTTTCCCTTAGCCACAATAATATCTGGCCCATTTTAAGTGCTGAATAAAATGTTGAAAAAGTATTTTCCAGCTCTGGCGTGACGGCAGCTGTTGCTCCAATGGAAAGAGTTTCAAAAGAAAAATCAGCTTGTTTTAAAAAGTAGCACCACAATGAAGCTCCATGGTCACTGACATCTATTCTCCACCTCTACTTATGACTTCATTGTTTGTGTCACCAGTGATTTCATTCTACCAGTTGTGATTCCTGTTGCTTAACATTTCCTGTTCTGGAATCTGTTTTTTCCTGACCTCAAAGTCATCATCATACCTCTCTCTGGTACCAAAGCAATGGGAGAAAGAAAAATAACTTCCTTCCTGAGTTTATTATTTCTGTAAGCAATCAGTCCACTTTATGTTTTCAGTTGTTGTTGTTTGTTTGTTTTTTATACCCTCCATCCTGCTGCCACATCCCAGACTTACTTTCTTTCTTCATAGTCC